CCCACACACACCCACCCACACACACACACACACACACACACACATTGTGCACGCATGCGTGCTCACAGAGGTATTAATTCTCAGTCAGGATTCAGTCAGGGCTAGTCACTTCCTGGTGCTGCCCTTTCTTTCCTGGGCCACGCCTGTGTCTTTTAAATCTTAACAGAAAAATCAATTACCATCTTTGATTCTGATTCATAATGACCCAAGAGCTGTTCTCCATAGGGTTTTCAATGGCTGATTTTTCAGAAGTAGACCATCAGACCTTTCTTCAGAAGTACCTCTGAGTGGCCACAAACATCCAACCCATTAATAGCTGAGCACTTAACGTTTGACCACCCGGGGACTCCAGTGTTAACAGCAGACTTTTCTAATTAACAAGTACATTTTAATTGTCTTTTGGGACCGTTCTAATCATTTGACTTGTTCTAATCAAAAGCTGTTAAGTTTTATGACCAGAAAAAGTACATATTTCCAGTACTATACTCAATAATAATGAAAGCCTGTTTTTTTTTTTTTTTTTTAATCATAAAGAACCAAAAGATCAATTCATATGAAATAATTCAGCTGCGTTTTGGATATGAATTTCTCCTTTTTCTTGAAAAGTGTTAGAATTATAGTTCTACTCACAGTTAAAATAATAGGGAACAAAATATTTTAATGATTGTATCAGATGAAGCTGTAACATGCAAACTGCTTCGCCCATTTGCCCTTTATTTCTGAAAGGCAGAGTTTTTTTTAAAGTTCTACTTCCTCAATTGCGTTTGAAATCCATGCTCACAATGGTGAGCCCATTCGATGGGGCATATGCCCGCTCACCGTGCCTGCCCCCACCTCTCTCTCAGGGTAAGGAGGCTCCCTTCACCAACTTCAACCCGTCCTGCCTATTCCCCACCTGCCGGGACTACTGGACCTACCAGGGCTCCTTCACCACGCCGCCCTGTGAGGAGTGCATCGTGTGGATTTTGCTGAAGGAGCCCATCACCGTGAGCTCCGACCAGGTAAGCAGCAGCTGTGGACCCTTGTGAACACATGGGATTAGATTGGAGCCCTGGTGTTCCAGTAGTTAAGCGTTCGCCTGCTAACCAACAGGTCGGCAGTTGGAACCTACCAGCTGCTTCTTGGAAACGCTATGGAGCAGTTTTACTCTGTCCTATAGGGTCACTGTGAGTCAGAGTCAACTCGACAGCAGTGGTTTGTTTTTTATAAGATGCCAAATGGAGCCTTGTGGAACAGCTGTAACAACTGGAGATTTCATAGTTTGTCCTAGTTAATTACCATCAGTCTGCTCAATTTTCTAAAACTTGACTTCCAAAGGGTACTCGGATAACCGCAAATTATTTAAAAGTAGTTGTGATACTCAACAATGACTGGCTTTATGCTCTAGAAACACAAGAGTTTCGATTAGTATGTTAGTCTTTGTTAGTTTGGGGGTCCCCAAAATGCTAAGCCCTGCCTGATTAGGAGATAGGATTGTGAATATAACCCTGGGGAGGAGAAGGATTCTTGCTAGTAGAAGGAACTTAACATTCGTGTGAGGTATATATTATTTCTCCAATTTTACAGATAGATTGAGGCTCAGAAAAGTTAAGTAATTTACTGATGATCACATAGCCAACAAGTGAAGGATCTGAAAGTTTAATTCCATGTGTCTGCCTCTATGTCCTCTTAATCTCTCTGCTCAGGCCTCCCTTCTTACTGTTCATTGAAGAGCATCCTTGCAACATTTATTGAATAGCCAGTCCTCGAGGAAAGGTTGTTTGGGAGAAAATAAGTGGACAGGGACATGGAAAAGAACAGATTAAAGCAAATGGACAACACATTGATCCTCAGTTTAGATCATTAATGTCTACTGTATTAATAAGATTAGTTTATGAGTACCAGTGTCCCTTGATTAGGACAGTAACTTTCGTATTTCTGCCAGTTGTGGACTCAAGTATCAAAAGATCAGATTTCACTGATTCAAATATTTTGGAAGAAGAATGAAATTTTCTTAGGTAAAGTAAAAACAACATCTTAAAACAGAAATAAAGCGTTACTAATGAGAGTTTCCTGAATTTCTGTCCTCTGAGGTTAAAAGCATTTTTAAAATTTAAAGTGTACCATGACTCTAATTTTTTTCTGCTTTTTTAAAAAACTGACTCTATAAACCTGTACAATGAAGGCCAATTAATATTATTATTTGCATGATGTTAATATTGTCATTTCCTCGTGCGTAAAGTGTATAGTTCATACTGAGCCCCCATCAAAAATAATTATTTCAGAATTCAGGGTGGAAATGTTTTGACCAGAGGGCATGGTGATCCTGTATAAAATGAAGAAAAGGGTCTTACAAATAAAGAAAATGTTTATAATACCCAGGACCTGATAGCTAAACAATTCTGACTGAACACTGGAGACAAGTTTTGTAGTTTGCTTGTTTTGTTTGAAAAACCAGTGACTTCTAACTCTTCATACTGTAGTGTGTCTAAACCAGACAAAACCAAACCTCTTGCCTTCAATTCTGACTCATAGCGACCCTATAGGACAGAGTAGAACGGCCCCATAGGGTTTCCAAGGCTGTAATCTTCACAGAAGAAGCAGACTACCACATCTTTCTCTAGTGGAGTGGCTGGCGCTAACCACCGACCTTTTGGTTAGCAGCCGGACGCTTAACCACTGCACTACCAGGGCTCCTGTAGTGTGTCTACTTGGTCCGAATGTCGAATGTTGTGCTGACACTGTGCCCCTACCCCTTGCAGATGGCCAAGCTGCGGAGCATCTACTCCAGTGCAGAGAACGAGCCCCCTGTGCCCCTGGTGGGGAACTGGCGTCCTCCACAGCCTATCAAGGGGAGGATAGTGAGAGCCTCCTTCAAATGAGGCTGCTGGAGAATGCCCTCTTCAGGAAAGGAAAGCTGCCATTGCAAAACGTGGTTTCTTGCTCCCTGCTGGTGTTCCCTACTCAATTTCAATTTTCCACACTGAGCAATGAATGTGAGAAATGCAATCACCAAGAAACCAGTTACTTTTGGCAAGATCACATATAAAAGCATGAATTTCACATTTGATACTTTGTCATAGTCATCTTCCCCATAAAAGTGGCATTTCTAGTAAGGTTTCGAAGAAGAAACAGAGGCAGAGGAGAAAAAAATAGAAAAAATGGTTACTAGGCACTATTTTTGAAACCTTAAATTTCACAGAGCTTCAGTTTTACTATTTTCATATTATGAGTTGTCAATCTTAATAGAAATAATGAATAACTATATTTAAGAGTAGATGTATATGAAGATCATAAAACAATTAAACATCAGCCAGAAATTAAAATTAATATGGACATCAAGAATTGAGATGTTAATGTATTTTAACTCTTAAATAAAGCCAGAAAGAAGTCCAGTCTATTCTTTATTAAAATTGTAGCTACTACTAAGAATTTCTTGTTTTGAACATCAATGCAGGAAAAACAGAGTAAGACCAGGTGTTTAAAAACTTGAATCCATTATTTGAGTTTATTTTTCATGAAGACTGTTGACTTTATCTTAATATTTTCCTTTACCTGAAGGAGGCCCATTTATTTTTAATTTTACTACTTTTAACCTTGCATGCCTAGTAAACTGAAAACTGCCTCAGATGTCTTTCTAATTGGAGACTGGGATTAATGATTCCTACAACATGCAGGAGTGAATGACTCACTTGAAGTAAAAGCAGTGGTACCAGTCACCAAAACCAATAAAGACTCAAATGCAAAAAAGCTTTTTTTTTTAATTAAAAGTGGGTTATAAATGACAAAAAATGGAGTAAGACCAAGAATGGCAAACTTTGTAAGTTTATAACTAAATGGATTCAAGGTCTCAGTTTGAGGAGATACTACACTCCTCACAGAGAGGCTAAGGTGTGGGTATTTTAAAATGACTCCATTAAATACTGTTACAAAGTGAGTATTTAATATTAGTATTGCATAACATAAGCTCATTACTCTATTAAAATGTAATTTTCAGAGAGCAGTTGGTGAGGGCTTTCTGTGGAAATCGCAGACAGGAAGGGGAATATGACTATATATTTGAAAGTTTGTAGTGCCTTCGGAGTTCTTCTCCAGTTTAGCATTCTGGGGTTCAGACCAGTGCAGTGGGTACTACTTAGGGGTGTGGAATCAAGTCAAGTTGTAGCTTTTAAGCCCTTATTTTTTTTTAACATGCCTTAGGATGATGCTGGCCTAGCACTGTAAAAGTTCAAATGTTTAGACCATCGAGACATTTACTATTTTTAGGCATAAAGTCACTAAAACTCTAATTTGCAGTTGGTAGCTTTGATATGTCTTTTATCACATCACTGGCTAATACGTTAACTTACTTTAGAAAATAGCAGCAATAACGTCATTCCCTGAAGGAATGAGAATGGTATTGGGTCAGGAGAGTCCTGAGGAGCCATCTGACAGAGTCTTGTGAGGCTGAAGTTATTTAATATATTACCACTTGGGTGAAGTAAAACCAGGTTGGTCAATGGGAACTGGATGTGTTAATTAAATCCCTTGAAATTAGGAAGTGTGGAGTTCTCATCATTAGCTGTAGTATACAAGCTGATTCTCTCAGGGTACTTAGTAATGCCTCAAGCATTGTAAACATGTAGCCAATATTCACTGATTGTGGAGTAAGAACACAGTAACACCAGCTTCCAAAAGAACCATGTTGCCATTGACTCTATTCCCACTGGTGGTGATCCCATGTGTTACAGAGTAGAGCTGCTCCATAGGGCTTTCTTTGCTGCAATCTTTACAGAAGCAGTTCATCAGACCTTTTTTCCCTGGAGCCCCGTCCCTGGATGAGTTTGAACCACTAACCTTTAGATTAGCAGCTGGTTGCAAACCACTTGTGCCATCCAGGCTTGTGCTTACTCAAAAACACAGGCCTGGAACAAGCCTGTTACTGTTTTGAGGAAAATGCCCAATCAAACCATACTATCTCCCCTGACCATATGTTCCATGAGGCATGGATACAAGTCTTGTATACTGACATTTACCTTATTTCCTAGTACTGTGCCTGACACTTACTAAGCACTCAATAAATATTTGGTGAATAAATGATCTCTTGAGCATAGATCAATCCTGGGCAAATACTCATCGTCCTGAACAATGCACCACATGGTTAAGAGTCATACTGCTTTTTCCAAATCTTAGCTTAGATCTCCTTGGGAAATGGTCTCTAACTTCAGGTGGGGGCTTTCCAGTAAAAGATATCCCCTCCCCCCAAAATTTAGGTCATTGCCGATGCTCAGTTATCACCCAGCTTAAAACTTCCTTCCACTTTCTCACTGCATTCAAGGTACTGAGTTATTACAAATGTCCATTCAAATACTGAAGCCATACTTATGTCCTTCTTCAACATGAGAACATTTTCCAGATCATACACAGGCCTCCAATTGCCTTTCAGGCATATACAGCCTACAAAGGAGACATTGCTAGGAGTTGCTAAGGTTATCTAGCATTGCCAACTTTGTTCTTCAGGGTGTAATCATTGATTGCAGGGATTTTAAATTTTCCAAATAGGATACAAGCTAATTTGAATAAAGTGTGTCATAATATTCATAATAATCTTTAAAATACGCTAAATATGTTATATATATGTGATAAGATATATAATATAGTATTCTTTAAAGGCCTATGAATGGGGCATCATCAACAAGAATTTACTGAATATAGAGTACTGTTAGGTCTTTAGGGTATATTATAACCCTATATTATATTCCCCTCACTTTTAGTGGGGAGACAGGATATATGTATGAAAAGGTCAATAACTATACAGGACCACTGATATAAAATTCTTTAAAATATACCATCAGTAGATAGTTATATAGACAAATGAGAAGTATTCTGTTAGAATATGCAAAACCTTAGGTTTCAGTGTCTAGTAATTATTTACATAATTGAATAAACATGGTTGAAATTGATCAGCTATAAACAAGCTTGGATGTATGTGAAAAAAGCGTCATGCCAGTTATTCAAATAAAAATTGGCCACAAATAAAATTGGTTTAAAAGAAATATAGTCCAAAATCACAACAGAATCACACATCAAAAAATTAATTATATTCTAGTCTTCTCTTCTAATGCCTTTTTATTTGATATTAAAGAGGAACACTGGACATGAGCAAAATATATTCTTTTAGACAAGGAAGAATAGGTGAAGGATAAGAAGAATGATACCTGTGAATGTCAGACTAAAATTTTTCAGACAGATTGAATTTATGCAAATTTAATGACTTTTTAAAAATGACTCCTAACCAAAAAAAAAAACCAAACCCATTGCTGTGGAGTTGATTCCCACTCATAGTGACCCTATAGGATAGAGTAGAACTGCCCCATAGTGTTTCCAAGGTGCATCTGGTGGATTTGAACTGCCAACCTTCTGGTTAGTAGCCATAGTTCTTAACCACTATGCCACCAGGGTTTGCAAATAGTTAAGAGCTTGCCTACTAATGATAAAGTTTGGCTGTTTGAACCTACCTAGTGGTGCCTTGGAAGAAAGTCCTGGTAATCTGCTTCCAAAAGGTAACAGTCATTGAAAACCCTATGGAGTGCAGTTCTACTCTGACACACGTGGGGTTGCCCTGAGTTAGAATCAACTTGATGGCAATGGGTTTGGGTTTTTTTAAGGCAGTACTATACTTAAAGAAGATCCCTGGTGGCGCAGTCATTAAGAGCTCAGACTGCTAACTAAAAAGTCGGCAGTTTGAATCCACCAGCTGCTCCCTGGAAACTCTATGAGGCAGTTCTACTCTGTCCTATAGGGTTGCTATGAATCAGAATCCACTTCAGGCCTGCGGGTTTGGGTTGCACGTTATTTTTACTCAGGTCAGTAGATGGCAGAAGAGTATTTTAAAATTTCATTAGGGTCACTAGATGGCAGCAAAACAATAGAAAACTTACTGAAATTCCTAGATATGCTGCATGTTAATTATGTAAATTTCAGAGCAAGATTTTTTATTCTAAACTGACAGCCAATTTTCTGAAACGTTTAATATTAATCATTAATATCTATCTACAAAAGAAGACGGTGTGGGACACTTACTTATTTTTGAGATTTTGTTGTCATAAATCTTAGTAGCTAAAAGTGAGGCTTGAGGGATAAAAGGAGTAACTGGTTAATAAAAACCAAAATAAAAGAGAAACAAAGATGTTATAGCCTTATTCAGTGTTCAGAAGGTACTTGTAATGAGGGCACTCTGGAACCAAGCTGCCTGGGTTTAAATTACACAGCACTTGCTGAATACGTGGCCTCAGGTAAGTTAATTTTTCTATGCCTCAGTCGCCTTGTCTGTAAGTGAGGATGATAATAGCACCTACCCAGAGGATTGTTTTAAGAATTAAATGAGTTAATACATGAACACCACTTAGAATAATTATTCAGGCATGTAATAAATCTCTCAATAGGACCCTGAGAGTACGGCCCCTGGACACCCTTTTAGCTCAGTAATGAAGTCACCCCTGAGGTTCACCCTTCAGCCAAAGATTAGACAGGGCCATAAAACAAACCGAGACTGAAGGACACCACCAGGCCTGGGGCAAGAACTAGAAGGCAGGAGGGGACAGGAAAGCTGGTAATAGGGAACCCAAGGTGGAGAAGGGAGAGTGTTGACATGTCATGGGGATGTTAACCAATGTCATAAAACAATATGTGTACTAACTGTTTAATGAGAAACTAGTTTATTCTGTAAACCTTCATCTAAAGTACAATAAATTAAAAAAAAGAAGCAATGACTTACAAAGAGGGATTTACTATTTATCCGTAGTGAGGAGATAAGGCTAACGCATGGAATCAAGGCAAACAATGCCAAAAAGCACCTAAGTCAGGCTTAAAATGAATGTTGCCCACTGTACATGCTTTGTTGTTGTTGTTAGGTGTTGCCAC